CCGGCGCTGATTGCTCGTGATGCCTTAGAGGCCACGCTCGGTATTCTCGCTGCAATTGGTGCTGGTGCATCGCCTTGCTTTGCGGAGACTTGTCGAGTTGCTGTCGGTGGTTGCATTTGCACCCGACGGGCTGGGACCCTGTCGGCCTTGGTGCCGTATTCGTTCGATCGAGCGGAGCTGTTGGCATATGCTTTATGTGGCGAGTACGATGCTTTTGCGGGTGAGACTTTGACACCGAAATCGGCTTCGTGCTGATAGACTGGGACTCGGCGGGCTGTCTGCCTAAACACGGGACCGGGTGTCTCGGGCTTGGCCTCAGTCACGGCCGTGGGTGGGGTACAGGGCATGGCTGTCGAGCCACCCGCTTCGTTGCGAATCGGCGACAAAAGAACTGTAAGCTGCTTTATGCCTTGCTCTGGCGACTTGGTCGTATCTGGCGCGATTGTGGCTTTGACAGGCAGAGGCAAGTGAGCAGCTCGTAAGTCTCCACCTTCGACATGGAAGGCCCGGTTTGGCGTTGTGACAAGTTCCGGCTCGGTAGACCTTACGGAGAGCGTACCTGGAGCTAATACCGTTTTGAAGGGGGATGCGCTTCGAGGCTCCAACACGGCCGGCTCATCGACATTATCACTGTGCTTCCTCTGGGACACAGTCCTCTGGCCTTGTATGGGTGATTGGGTCGCCACTCCTACGGATCGAGAGGGGCTCTGCCGCCTTTCAGCCCCGACGATGCTCGTCTTGTCAACCGGCGCGGACAAGCCGCTTGAGATGAAGGGCGAAGGCAAACCCTCATGTTGTGCAAAGCGCATCGAAAGTGCTCTTTTGGAAGGCGTCTCTGGCACCCTGCTGGTGATAGGCGAGATATTTTGCAAACACGCAAAGCGAGAAAGACCTGTGCTCGGAGGGAAGGGAAGCGTGGCCGAAGGCTGTCGGAAAGGTGTCGAGTAAGGCAGAGGCACGGTTTGATGAGAGGGCGTAGCGTGCTGGAGGGGCGTACCCTGTTGATCAGCCATCGACTGACGGAAAGGTGTACTTGAGCTAAAAAAGAGCTCTTTGCCGGTACACTTCTTTGGAGATGTCGATAGTTTTAGCGCTTCCAATGACAATTTCGGCGAGCGTCGAGGTGGGCGTACAGGAGATGCGAACTCCTTGTTCTGAGCCATTGTGGCGCCGATAAGAGATTCAATCAGGCGGACAGGGCTCTGCTCTCCACTAGGAAATTCTGAGCGGTGTTTGGAAGGGCTCTTGGACGCTCGACAAGGGCTAGCTTTAGCTGCAATGAAAGGATTGGTGTTCGCCTTCTCGCCGATCACTGCTTCTAACCGTTGGGCGTCAGGCTGGGCTTTCCTCGGCGCATCCCCTTGGTCTTGCGGCTCTGTCTGTTCCACAGGTTTTATCTGGTCTACTTGCCGTTCTTGCACAGGTCGTTGCGCCGATTGAGCTTCTTCAACATCCTGTGGCGATTCAGAATCTGCGAAATTCTGATCATGCTGCGGCGTCTCTTCCGGAGTTGCCAGAACATCCGCCATAGTCATGGTGCTACGCCTTGGCGATGCTACTTGTTCCATGTCTCGGTCTGAGCCAAATAGGGTGAGCGTTTGCCTTGAAGAGAAGTTCCGAGCACTGCTTCGTCCCTGAGTAGGAGAGCTGGCTGATAGCGTTGGGGATGACAACAGCGTCATCCCGTTCCTCAGCGGCGTGGGGGCTGCCTTGTTCCACGACCACCCTCCGACGCACATGGTTTCATCCACTAGCATGGTATCATCAGGATTGAAGCTGATCGGTCGCCGTCTTGCGAGGTCTAAGCTGTCTTTGTGCTTTAACCTTTTCTCGAGTACTCGTTGTTCATAGCGCAGCCTTTTCTTCTTCTCCGCGGAAGATGGCTTGCCGAAGAATACCACTACGGAATCGTCCGACTCATAGGAAGAGGAGAGGATGTCATCACTCTGAGGATTCACGGTTCGGCCCAGTGCCGACTCATACTTGGTTGGGGAGCTTCGTGAGCGAAGTGGAGACGTACGACGGGTGGGACTTTGGAATAGTGGAAAGCCCTTAGGACAGGGGCTGTTTTCGGAAACGCCGGCGTCGAGGGTCTTTGCTGACGTTGAAGGCTCGCTCGGAAGGGAAGATGCGATGTTTTCCTTGTCGAAGGCATTCTGAGGCGAAGAGATCACAGCGCCGGACAGACGCGGGCTTCTGCGCAATCGTCGTGGTGATACATTTGCTGGTGTAGGTTTGGCGTCGGATGGCCCGAATCCGGTAGAGGCAAGTCCTGGTCTTGTCGGACTAAGGTTGTGTGGTGCCGACGGAGGCGTAGGAGAGTCAGCTTGCATGATCACGGTTGGCCGACGAAGTGCTGCTTAGTATGCGACTGTTGCGTCGACAGCGAGCGATGACCTGAATGATCAGGGCAGATACATGAAGTGGGATCTGGACGATGATCAGCTTGGGTGTTGAGGGTCGAATCTGACGACTCAGGTCGGAAATCGGGTCGATTGGCCGTGCTGAGTCAATTGGTGCAAGGTGGAAGGAACGATGATGATGAGGAGGATTGCAATCGTGAATGGACAATGGACGGCAAGTATGAGCGACTTAGAGGCAAGTCAGCCGACGTCATTCAAACCTAAACGGAACCGAATAGTGCAGTGACGAAGTTTGACGATTCGCCAAGTCCAATGAACAGAGTGACTGTAATGTGCGACCTTGGAATCTATACCGGGAAACTCATCATCGGTCTGAGTTTGGGCGTCAGGCTATCATCATCCCGTTGGGACATTCACAGGCCAGGCTCTGTGCGCATGTTTGAGCTCTCGGCACAGTGAAATTCAAGCCTGTCGCTCACGCGCGCGGCCAAATCTCGCGTGCGTATGTCACGTGCTCAACTTTTTTTGAACTATTCCGGATCCTTCCCCGATCTTGGTGAGCAGCCTCCACTCTATATGGCTCAAGTGCTTCTGTAGCCGTAAAAACAGACAACATGACTGTCTCTGATTCACTTTGGCTTGGGTCAAGACCCTGCATTTCAATCAAGGTCTTGATTTTGCTTCTCCCACCATCAACCTCAGACAAGAGGGATCCAAGGTCACCATGTATGCATCAAATCACCTCCTGAATGTAGCATGAAGGTATCCAAGCTTCTACTGCAACCAGCTTCTTGGCCACTTCTGCAAAGAATTGTGCAAGATTCCAGGGGATACATATTGATGCATCCCTAAGCATTGCCTTTGCACCCTTTTAATGTAGGATGATTGTTGCTGCAGCAATTTGATGAGAGCGCCAAGGCCATCTTTGCATCACAGTTGACACTGGCGCCTCCAAGGCTGTCTCTTCTTTTGTTGGAATTACCAAATGGCCCATCATTGCCACCACATCAATCCAGACAGGGAATGCCTGACAAGGAATACTAGATCTGCTTTGGCAAAGCCTGTTGAGTCTTGGTTAACAACCTCCCCAACTCTATGGCAAAGGGCATCATTGACTGGCAAGATCTTGAGCGCACCACCAGCATGTGTTTGTTAAGGCCGTAGGGTCTAGGTACCACGTGGCGGCTAAAGCCAGGATAGGGTCTACAGGTATGGAGAGGTTGTAGGCGTAGGCGACACAGGCGGTTGGGGGTCAGAGCACACTACTGCATTGCTATAGAGCTAACTAAGTAATACATGCGACAAGGTCCAGAGGCAACCTCATGTCAAGCGGGGGCAGGGTAGTAAGGTCCAAGAGCTATCAGCCACCTCCCACCGCGGCGCTACAATGTTAGATTGCCAACGGTTGTATTCTGTTTACGGAGGGGCCAGCCGTGGTTGGGCGGTAGGAGGATTGTGTTAGGCCAACCGCTCCTCTGTGAGGGGTCCGGAGAGGGTTGGTCAGGGCCCGATTGCGACAATTGCTCAATCGGGAGGGGGGCCGAGCGCCCCCTCTTTGGACTACGGTTGGTGGGTCACTAACAGTGTTGCAGATGTTCTCCAAGTCTGGAGCAAGTTGTTGCCTATACTTCAGTGTTGCATGAAATGGGTACATCAGCTGTGGTTCTAGCTGGTGCAGTGGTTTTGCTGCTCACCATGTCTTGGTTGAGTCCCCAATTCCCAATCCCTGACACAACTGTCAATTTAATGGCTTCTCTTCTCCAGCCTCACAATGGAGAGAAAACGACCTCCTCCCTGCCCTCTTACCATTTCTTGGCCAAAGCCTGCTCCAATGCAAAAAGGGCAAGACCAAATCATCCAGCAAGTCAGTAGATTGTGCCTAACCAACCTGACCAATATTGGTTGTTCATTCTTACAATCCCTCCATACCCAACTGCCCCAACCAGTTGTAGCTGCAGCATGGTAACCCAGACCCTACAACCTTAACACTACCCTCCCCCAACCTCTGGCACCCTTCTCCCTGGAGGTCATTGATTGTATTATATAGCTGTATCACCCTGATGGGAGCACTGCTCAATACAAGTAGACTATTCCTGATCACCATCATGGTGTAGATATCTCTCATGCAAGCCCTAATCTCCTGGTGCCAAGCTGTCCAGCATTCCTGCACACTGATGGTACAAGACCCTTGGTGCATACTAACACAGTGCCAACTGAACTTTGAGGCTAACTCCTCCCACTTCCCTACCAACCAGCAAAAGATCAAACTGGCAATAGGAGGCTTGACAGGGATTCCATGCAAGCAACTCTGTAATGTCCAACCGTTGGGCAAATCCCAAATCTACCTCTAGTCATGGACTGCATTCTGCAACAAGCTGCTTTGCTCATACAGAGACCCCAACCCAGACGACACTGCCCAACTTGAGCTCCAATCCATGAAGCAGAGGGGCACATTTACCAAACAGGCAGCAAAGTTCCACTCACTTGCCGCAAGTGCAATTGCTGTACAACATGTGAACATCACCTTCTTAATGTGGTCTCAACTTCAGACCACAGGCTGGCAAAATATTCTTCCCGCCTTTTGCCTGACCCATCTGAGCAGAAAAAAATACACTGTTGATTAACGCAACAAATAATTGACCAGCCTGGGGCTCGAACCCAGAATCTCCTGATTAACGTTAATATCGTAGTCAGACGCCTTACCATTGGGCCAACCGGCCGTTGTGCGAGCTGCTGGGCAACCTCATATATGTATACAGCGTTGCTGACGCTATCCCGGACAGTCTTGGGCTTTAATTTCGCCGACTCTACCCAGCAAGACAATGATGGATGCAGACGAGATCGGCACATGAAGTAGAATCTGCTATTTCTCTAAGTTAAGTCCACAAAAGTACAGTTCTACACAAAGACACGAAGTAGGTAGAGGTAAGTAGCCGCAACCGCACCCGCGCCCAGTGTTGCAGTTAGGAAGAGGACGACCATCATCTCGCGCATGAGCCGTTGCCATTGACGCACCAACTTGATGTTGGATTCCTTATCCTCCGGAACGTCCACGTGAGCATTGGACTGGGTCTCGACATTGACCTTGCCGCCATTGATTGCCTCGGTATTTGAAGTTGCGCTAGAGGGAGAAGGCATCTCGAACTTTGTGCGTTTGTTGCCAAAGCTGAAGACGATAAGACGACGTAGTAGAGGTCGTGCGAGTTCGAGCTTACGCTTCTCCCACGATGTGCGTGGATAGAAGGTACCAAACAGAATAGGCACCTGCATGCCGAGAAAAGCGATGTCAGTGAGGACCTCGCGCCTGGCAGAAGAAGCCGGCAATGCGAGAGAATCGGCTAGTGACTTGCCAAGAAGGCGGCGCGAAATGGCCACATGTGCCGACAGTGGTGTGTGGAAAGGTGGTCGATCCGCACAAGCAATGAGCACGGGGATGGTCGGTCCTTGCATTCTGGGACCAGCAGTGGCACCCTTTCGATCGCCTTGCTGACTGTCGAGAATCTCGACCTTGTTGAAGAGATGAAGGATAGTGCACCATAAAGTTCGATCTGCTGCTTGAGCATCGCCGAAAGCTCTACGCAATAGAGCAGGTTCGATACCCATATAAAATCCAACATGCCGCCAAAGTGCAATATAGTCGTTGCGCTCCTGTGCGGTCGGTGAGATTCCAATCCGGTGCAGCATAGCGAGCGGAGCTGAAGAGAAGGCACACAGAGTGCCGAGCATGTCTTCTTGATTGATGGGTACTCCGTTCTTTTCCAAATTATAGGCTGTGCCGCTTGTTGTGCCATTGCGTTGCTTTTCGGCCAGCTTGAGGACGCGGCTTCGCACGTTGGTGTGGAGCAATCGAACACGAACTGCGGATTGCCAACCTTCGCCCCCCTTTTCCGGTGGTGGGAGTCCGGCGTTTGCAGCAGAAGGACTACCGGTCAACGGCGTAGTAGTAGAGCTCGGAGGGCAGAGGCTGCCCGCGCACTCGACAACGTCCAATACGAATTGCGTTGTCTCCAAAAGGCGGTTCCAGGTGCGATCTGCTCTTGGCTTGTCAAGATTAAAAACGCGCTTGAGATCATCGATGGTTGGAAGCGATGCAGTACCGGTGGCTCTGGCAACCTTGCCATTGGCGGACGCAGTGGGCACCAGGTATGCGGTCTGCTTCAGCACTTCTGTGATTCTGGGTGAAGCGAAACCACCGGCAAGGCTGAAATGCAACAATACTGTCAATATGGGACCGGCATATCGGTAAAAGACGTCCTGACCGCGTCGAAGCACTTCCGCTTCTGCTTCGAGTTCGTCGCGTTCGTCTTGGGCATCGAAAGGAGCAGCATCTAGTGCTGACCAGATGGGGAGACTCGATGCTGGCTCCTCCTGCAACGTGGAAGAGTAGCGAGGCCATTTCTCTAGGCGACTGATCTGTTGTGAGCCGTAGCGCGATCGATACCAGTCCACGCCAAGAGCGCCTGCACCTGGCGGAGGTCTGCGGTCGACTGCGCTCCAGAACTCTTCGCAGGCTATGCTCTCGTCTTTGGCTTCACGTTGGCCAGTGACTTGGTCGTAGATCCTGCGTAGGGTATCAGTTGTGGCTTGTCCAGCTGCATTTGGAACTGACAGCAGTTCGTCGAGGGCGCTGTCAGCAATAGGATCACCAATCTGACGAAGCTGTTCGAGCTTGTGGGGGTGGATGCATTGCTGATCCCATTCAGCGATACGACCCCAGGATTCGATCATGTCACCGTCCTTGACAGCATCAGAAACATCCCAGTTGATATCCTTTTCATGTCTGAGTCCGTTGCGATGCGCATGCCATTTTAGCGTAGTCGAGGCTTGAAAGCGTGACAACAGGGAGTTGGTAGGCGGCAAGGGTGTCTCTTGCCCAGAGAATAGATAGTCGGTGGGTGAGAATTGAAACGGTCGATGAACCAGAGCCACGTAGATCTGACAAGTGGTTTCAATAGCAACATTCCTGGCTGCAGGAACCGAAAACAGAAGCAGTGCGATGAGTGCAGTCCATATGAAAGCTGGTGTGCTTACGTGAACTAGCACATCTTGGCCAAGCTGCGAGAAAGATAGGCTAGGCATGCTGTTTTTGCGACGAAGTTCAGAAGGTCCGGCAACGTAGTAGGGCGTCGAGGTTTTTTAAGAGGTCAAGTCCGGCTGCGCTAGTATCTCTTCATTGCTTTAGGGTGAGTGCAGGAATTGTAGCAAGGTCATAAGGATGGCAAAAGGAAACAAATTGATGACTGTGAACCGGTGCCTTTGTGGCTGCGATATGCCGCAGGCGACTATCGAGTATCGCTCGTGTGACTGGAAGCCTTGTGATAATCTGCAACGATGTTTGTATACTGGAATAGACAAACGTGCATAACATAACAGCCAGGTCTGTGAGGGACAAGAATAGGATCGCGTACTGTCGGGGAGGTGGAAGGGGTCGAAGAGCCAAAGAATGGAGTGTTAAGCTTAGTTTGGGGTAGGGGCAGGACAAAAGACGTGTTTGGGGGGGCAAGGCGGAGTAGTCAAGCTGATGAGCAAGAGATGGGATCTTCAGATACATGGGCCAGGCGGGCGGTCGCACAACCATGGCTGCCACTCTTGTTGGAAGAAGCGGCCGCTCCACTTGGCTTAGCGTAATAGGCAGTTCTCAGTCTGCCATCGTCTGGGTCCTTTAGAGCTTGCTTATGCAGTAATTCAAAGACCGTGCAATTCATGCACGTTGTGTGTGCACTAGATCCCCATATGGGTGGATAGCTTTAAACAAAGTCAACCCAGATGGTTTGGCAACAAGTTGTCCTGGTGAGATAGCCTCAGAAAGTTTGTTCTGAGAAAACAAGGGTGTTTGTGTTGAGAATTTTTGGCTTGAGGAGTGTGTTTTGTGGCCATTGAGGCTTGATATCGGTACACACACCATCTCAATCCCCCACATTACCCCACAAAACCTTATCATTTTGGATTTGGCAGGACCTGCAGGCATTTGAAATCAATTGACGCAATCATGCACTTCACCCACACCATTTCTCAGGCATGTTGATGCCATATGCGTCTCCTTGCAGTTGTTGCTGCTGCCACACAGAGCTTGCCAACTGTTAGTGACCCACCAAACGTAGTCCAAAGAGTGGGCGCTTGGCCCTCCTCCCGATGGAGCAACCATCGCGGTTGAGCCATGACCGATCCTCTCCGGATCCCTTGCAGAGGAGCGGTCGGCCTAACTCCTGATTGAGCAACTGTCGCAATCAAGCCACAACCGATCCTCTCCGGATCCCTCGCAGAGGAGCGGTCAGCCTAACACAACCCTCCTACCGTCCAACTGCGGCTGGCCCCTCCATAAGCAGAATACGGCTATTGGCAACCTAACATTGTAGCGCCGCGGTGGGAGGTAATTACTGCAGTTGGCACGGGAGGTGGTCGATAGTTCTTGGACCTTACCACCCCGCCCCCGCCTGACATGAGGTTGCCTCCGGACCTCTGTTGCATGTATTACTTAGTTAGCTCTATAGCAATGCAGTAGTGTGCTCTGACCCCCAACCGCCTGTGTTGCCTACGCCTACGACCTCTCCGTACCCGTAGACCCTATTCTGGCTGTAGCCGCCCAGCGGTACCTAGACCCTACGGCCTTAACATTGCCCCCTCAGTCCTAGCACAATGCAACTGATGCTCTGCAGCGCTATGGTCTCCTTGATGACCCAGATATTATTGATCCCACACTGGAACCACAATCTTGTATGTAATTGCAATTGAATGATTTTGCATTGCTCTGTGACAGCAAGAAAGCTCAAACCATCATATTGAATGTAATTACAACAGCATTGGCTCATCATGATGCATTGGTAGCTCACAATAACATTTGGGTGCAGTTACAATGACATGAAGTTAATAATTTCAAAATGTTTGACTTGGATTGCAAATGGTGAGCAGTGCTACAAACTTCATCATGATAACATCAAGCTGGTGGACACAAAGACTGTTTGAAATAGCAACTGAAAAAGAAATATGGACTAAAAACAGGATCCACTTTTTACAAAATGTGGCTACCATTATGATCTATCATCAATGTGGTTAGTCTGTTAGGTGTCAGGGATGGGGAATTGGGGACTCAACCAAAACATAGTGAGCAGCAAAACCACTACACCAGCTAGAACCGTAACTGGTGAACCCAAATCACGCAACACTGAAATATAAGCAACAACTTGGTCCAGACTTGGAGAATGTCTGCAACACTCACTGGTGGTGCCTCTGGTGACATTTGATACAAAGAATAGACAGTGAGGTACAAATGGTTGCTGAAAAGGGAACAATGTCAAGAAAGAAGATTTAATCAAAGGAAACAAACCACCTCAATTTGGCAGCAAAAACATTCCCTCTGACATGCTCTAACACAATTTTCTTGCCCACCTAAGTAATTGCATCATTGATGGCACTAATCTTAACAAAGTCATATTGTATGCTAATGTCATTACAAGAAATTCAACACCATTTCTAAGATGGCATTTAAGCTGTAGGAATTGCTGTTGCTTACTATTGCATTGCTAGTAGTATCCTATATACATGAGTATTGGCTTTGCTCAATCTAACAACTGAGCTAGCCAGGAGTCTTAGCTCCAAGCTGTCAAATCTCACTGGTGAGTCTAAGAATTGTGCATCAGTCAGGTCAGTAGCGGTTGGCCCTGTTAGGTCCTTGTTGCGTAAAGTTGAATTTTCATTGAACTTTCATTGCGTTGCTTCAACT